CAGCCCCTGAGCTTGCACTTACTTTATCTTCATCGTACCCGAGTAATCTTCGTAAAGGCTAGAACTAAGCAAACAGCTAGGAAATCCACCGGTGGCAAGGCTCCTCGCAAGCAGCTCGCTTCCAAGGCAGCTCGCAAGTCCACTCAAAGCACTGGCGGCATCAAGAAGCCTCATATTCGCTTTGTTCGATGAAGCCAGTTTCCGCTAAAGACACTGGTCAGAGAAGGGCAATAGCCCTTGAGGAGGTGGATCCACCCCTCTCTGCGAGACGTGCCTCTAGCTCGGGGATAACCCTCCCACTAAGGGGGGGTATCCGTCCCAGTGATGACGGAAATGTGGTACCGAAAGGACCACAGCAATTTAATCTTGATCAGGATTCCGAGGCCCAGGCTGCTGGCTCGCCAGCGCACAGCCTGGAGAATTGCTGGAATGGTACCATACCGCCGGCTGTTCTCGGTTCAGGTACTCAGTTCGACTGGGCCTCGGAGGCCCCTTCCGAGAGTGAAGATATAACCATGGAGCAGCTGGAGAAAGATCTTCTCGACGACTCTCCTCCCAGAGCCTCCGCCGTCCCGTCGCTTCAGCGCGTCAGGAAGCCCCTGAAGTCCTGCCGTGGCGAGGGGCCTCAGGCCTTAGCGACCTACGATGCTCGTAAGGCAAGGAAGGGCCCTGCCGCCGGTTCTCAGGTACGCCAAGCGGCTCGCGGCTCCAGGGCGCGTCAACCGTCCTCTGGCCCATCGCTCCAAGACGTCGAGCTTCAACCTACTTATGATCTTCCTGACGACTCTGAGCCTTCCCCTCGAGATCACCCTACTGGTCCTCTACCTTCTCCACAAGGTCGGTGCTCCCCGCAAGGGAAGGGCCCTGGGCCGGCCCCAGCGGCACTGGTGCAGATCATTGCGCTTCTGCGCACCCTGATCGGCACCTTGTCGCTGGGCCCCCAAGGGCCGGCCATTAAGGCCCTATTAGACTCCATTGTGGAGCTAGTAGAGGCCGGCCTGACGACTTCACCGGGCCCCCTTTCGGCCCCGGTAAGTCGTGCCCCTGCGGCATCTCAGGTACCCCAGGTACCGCAGGTGTCCGCTGATGGCTTTACGACCGTCACGAGACGGCGTCGGGGTCGCAAGGCGCAGAATGCTGCCCCACCCAGACCCGGCCCTCCGGGGCCACCTCAGGTACCCCAGGCGACTCGCCGCCCGCAGCCTACCACTCAACAACGGCAGCAGCAGC